CAATGCTTGCAAGCTGCTCCACACTTCAGTGTGAACGTATTCTAGAAGAACACTAGGGCAGCCAGCCACTGTGCTCTGTACCTTACACAGAGGCTTCACCAAGTTAAAACAGTTTGCGTTTTCAAACACAGAAAGCAGTTAATGGATCTTGTATCACTTGAACAAAACTGGTATTTTTTTCTTGTTTGCACCAAGAAATGTTGCACTCTGTCTGGATTTCACCAACGCTTGACTCTCGACGTCAAGTCGAAACCTTAAATTCTGCAGAGTCTGTTTTTTCCCATATGTTTATCAGCTTAGCCTGTGACCAGTGCTCCGTGAGGTGCTGGGGCAGCTACGTATGCTTGAGGTTTGAAAGGTGTGTAATTAGCAGCCACAAAACCAAAAGAAAAGACCCTAACCCTAAAGTTTTGTGTTCATGTAACTTCTAACCAAGAGTAAAACCTTTAAAAACTTGTCTCTTCAATGTTACACCTCTGTTTCTCAGAATGACCTGTCCCAATTGTAAGCTCTCTCCACAGCCCTGAGGAAGGTATCATATTTGGAGCCATTGTACTGATGAAAGCCTTCTGGTAGCAATAAAGAAAGTTGTCCTGGATTCTGAGTCTTGTTCTGTGCTTTTCACCTGAGTCCAGGATCAGTTTTTACCTGGTGGCTGCATGAGAGCTGCTCTGTGCCAGAGATGTGAGAAAGTTGCTTTTGGGGTGCTGGGCAGCCAGAGTGCCAGGGCAGTTGCACAACAAACTTGTTGCCTTTGCAACAAGTCCAGCTTTATCCCTGGCTCTGATGCCCCTCAGTCCCTCCCCTGTCCTCAGGCTGTTGGAGTAACCATCTCCTCCTCCGTATCCTGAGCGCCCCGCCAGAGAGCCAAGTTCCCCACGCCCAGGCCGGCTGTAGATCCCTGCTTGCCTGACATCCACTGCAGATCACATCTGATAACGAGAAGGTTGGTACACACGTCATTTCTGCTCTTTTTGTAAGCTCAGATTACCAAATGAATTCTGTCATCTCGCCTCCTTCCTGGCTGGCTTTGGTATCATGCGCTTCAGGAGGAGCCAGCCCCTCCTACCTTGTGTGTTCTGAGGTGCCACCCTTTTTGTTGTGCATGCTCCACTGGGACAAACTTCCCAGGCTTCAGCCCTCTTCCTGCCTGTGTCCTGCAAACCTCCTCCCGAGGCCGCATTTCTCAGAGGGGTGTGCACCTTCCTTCCCTTCCAGCCCTTCCTGGCAGCCTCAGACCTTTTCTCTCTTGCTGCTTCTCAGTTTTGTCCAGCCAGGCTGCTGTTCAATCCTGGGGCATCACCTGGCGCACCCTTAGCAGAACACCCCGTTGCTGCAGTGTTTCCACAATACTGGTGCTCACTTCACCTCAAGGGGCGCATCTTTTTCAATTAACTTGCACAACATAACGGCTCTAAATAAAAACAACCACTCCAGTTTCCAGCACTAGATACAACAACATCAGCATGGGAAAGATGAGAGCCGGGTAATTTTCACACCCCTTGACAGCCACACCAGGCCCCTGCGGTTTCTGCGCAGAAGGGAGCCTTTGTGCGTGCCTGTGCTTGCTGCGTGCCAGCAGCCCTAAAAACGATCCCGCTGATCCCGAGGGGAGCAGCTGCTGGGAGCTCCACCTGCGTGCGCACTCAAGGACAGGGAAGCCAGGGCTCTCATAACTTCTGACGATACTGGCCTGCACGGTACAAAACTGGAGAGCTTTGTGGGACTGCAGCTGATTTCAGTTGGCTTCCAACAGCGTGAGACATGCTGGGGAAGAAGAGAAGGTGAGGACCAGAGCGCCATGGTGCTGCCATCCCACAGCAGCCCCTTCCAATTGGCAGCTCCCCCCGGCCCCGTTTAAAGGACGCCTTCCCCCTCCCCCCGCACAGGCACTGGTGAGGATTAAGGGCCCAAACCCCTTTGCAGACATGCACAAGGGGGGAGTTGGCACGGGGCTGGGAAAGGAAGGTGTTCGCTTGTGCCAGATGGTGGGGGCCCAGCTGGAACAGAAGGGAGAGAAGCTGGGCCTATGGAGAAAGATGTAGGTGCTGCAGGAGCAGTTCCTCTCTAACAGATGCGCTGCAGCCATGGCTGCGAGGTGCTTTGTGAGCAGTTTTCCTTCTCACGGCTTTCTCCTCCCCAAAAGTGACAGGGTAAGACCAGGTCCTGCGCAGCACCACACCAGGCACGTCCCCGTCTCCCACCAGCCCTGGCAGAGAGCTCTGCTGAGCCAGCTGCTGAGCTTGTCTCAGCCCCAGGCGCCCCAGTTTTTTTTTTTTTTTTTTTTTTTGTCGTTGCTTTGGATAAAAAGCAACATTATGGCAAAGGGGCAGGGGCGTAGCTCTCTAGGGAGAAGCAGCTGGTGAGAGTCACAAAGTTAGATTTACTGTATCATCAACTGCCTTCAGAAACGTGCCTGATAAACAGCATTACTTCAGGCTCTTGCAGTACTCCCCCAGAAACCTTCCCAACCTCCCCCTGCTGCACAAAGCCAGCCAAGCCACAGGCCCAACACAGGACACACCTGCGAGGCCAATACCTACAGGGGCAGGACTCAGCTGTCCCTTGCTTCCACCACAGCTTTCGTGCTCCTGAGCCCCAAACACACAGGTGCTCCGCCAGCCCATTTCAGCAGGTTGCCTTTTTATTTTGTTAGCGCTATGCACAAATCCACACTGATTGTCTTTCACCTGGATACAGGCAACTCCTGGCCCCCATTTGGCCAACCTACCTCCTCAGGGTCCTGCTGACGGGCTGCTGCCTGGCTGCCCTCACGTAGGCCCTGGGACGCTCGTGGGCCAGCTCTCTGGCCGTGTTGCCCAGCAGCACCCTGTTGCCTTTTGTTCTCCAGAAGAAAAAGGAAAAATCCCATCTCTACAACTGCAAACGCACCACTTGTACTTTGCTCTTTCCTTTTTCTCTACCTTTGCTGTGAACACACTAGTTTTCAACACACCCTTTCAACCCACCACCACGTGTGGAACGCATCCACTAAGGGAATGCCTAGTTGTGCCTGTGGTACCTTGAGCCACCCAAGAGCGTGGTTGCACCACGCAGGTGTACGGACTCGGCAGGGTACAAGGATTAACTTTCAGAACCCACCAATGCCCCAGGCATCACTGTCTCAGCTCCACTGTGAGCCATAGGCCAAATGCAGACAGACTTAGGGCACCGGCTTACCCCTCCCGCCCCAGTGCACACTTGGCCACGGGAGACCAGCACTTTGAGGACTGGCCAGCCCAGCTCTCAGGGGGCCAGGGCTGGCACACAGGCCTCCGCAGGGGACCACAGCAGCATCATGTGGTGTCCTTCAGCTTTGCTGCTCTCCTGCTGGTGCTGCGGCCACCTGTGTCCCAGGCCAGCTGGGGTCAGTGAGGAGCCCAGGGAACACAGGTCTGCATTGCTGCCTCACAGATTTACAGTATTGTAAGACAGTCAAAGACAGGCTTGCCTTTGAAAATGAATGAGGCACATCCCAGCAAGATCAGCTCCCCCACGTAGCAAGGTCCAGCTGATTTGGAAATAACCTGCATTGCCAGAGAGAAAAAACATTTCCCACTTCCTACATTTCCTCCCCAGAAAAAAACCCAGGCAATGACGCAGACCAAATGCAGCCCCCCCCCCCATCGCCTCGCTATGACAGTAGTGGGCTGACTTGTAAGCTGCCTCTGCTGTCAAGAGCACAGGACTGTCCTGGGGCACTGCCAGGTCTCCCCAGTAGCCACGGAAGGATATCCCCTGATGCCTGTGACTCCTCATCAGTGTCATGGGACCTCCCCACAAGCTCCACAGCCGCCCCGTGCTTCATGCCACAGATCTGCCAAAGGCACTGAGCACAGGGTCTGCCTGCTCTAGCCATCCAGCAGAGGACGCAGGTGAGGTGAGTGGCCAGCTGGGAAACCCATTTCAAATTGCAGGCTCAGTTCCCTGCTGCCTCATGTTCCTCAAGAGCACTGGGATAAAACCATCGCATTCATAAAGCCACACGTGCTACTACTCAGCACAGTCCTCCAAAACCCAGGGAGCACCCGAGTGCCTGGCAGCCATGTCTTCACAGCACACTGCTACTTGTTTCAAATGTCTTCCAGCAATGATCCCCACTCACCTTTACAAGCTGCGCGGCCGTTATTCTCTGACTGGTTTGCTTTGAAGATGTGACAGCAGTAACCTCTCTGCAATTTTTCTCCACAACACTGCCTCAAGAGATACCGATACGCCTCCTCCACCCACCCTACCTTGCCTGGAGGACTATTCATGAAGTATTTATCTCTTACACAACACCTGCAGGTACCGAACATAGAGGAGATGGTCACATGGAGGAGATGGTCGTTTCTTGAATAGCTGGTAGGTCGATCCCTCAGACCCCTCTGCCAGGCTGTGAGCCAGCCCCAGCCCACAGTGGCCAACAGCAGCATGGCACCGCACTCCCCCAGCTCCTGCCATGGGGCACAGCCAACCTGGAAGCTGTTCCTAGCTCTGGGTTTGGGAAACCAAAGTTCCTTTTTATTATCCAGCAGTGACAGGAGGGTTAAGCCCACAAACATGATTTTAAACTTGGGCACCTTCTCACTCCTGTGTATGAAACAGCTTTCCCAGCTCTGCTGGGGACATTTGGTCACACTGAGTGACAAATAACCTCCCCGGGCTGTCCAACAACAGGTTTCACGCTGCCTTCCCCTCCCCACGCCGACACCTCTTCCCCTGACAGCTGCACACCACGGAGGAAGCGAGCCAAAGGGCACTTCGCCATCCCTTCCCCCGCACCACACCAAGGTGTGGGAAAGTCTGTGCCACACTGCCTCAGCTCAGCCCCTTGTCCGACCCGTGTGTCTGGCTGCAAACAACACTTGCAGTACCCCTATGTGCTTTCTGTTCTGTTCCCCGCACTCTGCCTCAAGTATCCACCACCAGATTATGGATGTCAGATGTTTCACCCTGGTTTTCTGCCTGCCCACCTTTATGGTTCTATTCCCCATAAATTCAACATTTTAAAAACCCCCAACAAACCAACCCCAAACACCCTTTTGCTGACACCATCTGCCTCAACAACCTGAAGCAACAAATTCCTGAAGTTTATTACCTGCTCTGTGAGAAACTTATTCCATGCTCTGAGCTGATTTCCTTCTAGCTAAGTGCCCCTCTGGTTCTAGTCCCAACGATTTGGTAACTAGCAGGTCGGCATCCATCGTCATCGCAGCCCAGCCGACTTTATAGCACAGAAGCACAAATAAATATAGGCTGGAAGGGACCTCTAGAGGACATCTGCTGCAACCTCCAGCTCACAGCGGGGCTGATCCTCCCTCTCATCTCAGCCTTTCCCTCTCCAAACTGAGGCCTCCAAGCCTTTGCAGTCTCACCTGGCAGGCTGCTGCTCCATCCCGTTTACCATTAGTGCCCTTCTCTATCTCCACTATGTCCTTCTGGAGACATGAAGGCCAGAGCTGCATGTGGGACTCAAGGCACCAGCACAGCCACACTCTAGAGCTGCAAAATAAAGGCAGTTCAAGTAAGTGTTGGCATTTAGTTTGTGCCTATCTGCTTCTCTTCATATAAAGCTTTACAAAAAAATATTTGTATTTGGAGTTTAAAAGTCAACCAACAAAAGGGTTTTGCCCCTCTTCAAACCTTGAGGCAGCAGCACTACTGGGGGGTCATCTAGCCCTGAGCCCCTCCAGCTGATGAAGGATCTCTTCCTCCGGTACAGCCCAGCACTTGCCAAGGGCAGAACTGCCCTAAAAGTCAAGGTCTTGAGAGCTGCTTGAAGAGCCTAGGGCTGACCCGGTGAACGAGAGTCCATCAGGATACTCCTTCAGTGCTGTCAATCTGCAGATGTGGTCAAGACTTCCTACTGTCACACACAAGATTTCAGAGTCACAGGGCACAGCTACAGGGGTAAGATGGGGCTAGCAGCACTTGCTATCTATCTTCTTTTTAGGCACGGGGTAGAACAACCCCACCACCACCTTATTTTTTTCTTCTTACTGCAGTGAACGATGCCCAGCCACCCATGATCAAGCCTGGGTCCCAAACCACTGCCATCAGCACAACATGGGTGACCTGACATGAGGCAGAGCCCTGCAGAATAGCTCTATGCCCATGCAGGAAAATAATAACAAGTGACTGACTTGTCATATAGCAAGAGAGAGGCTATAGCACAGTGGTGGGATTTTACACACTAGACTCCTACCACCAGATAAACCCATGCTACAATTTTTAAATGGAAAGAAAAAAAAAAGTTGAAGGAATGAGAGTCATATAAGGAGAGAATTCCCCCTTTCTGTAAACAGGGGCGCTGGGGAAGGTCTCACCACGCAGAACACTGCAGGAGCCATCCGATGGGTGGGCTGGCCTCTGGGCAAGTAACCAGCAGGGTATTCTAGCAAGTTGGAGGCTATCATGGAGAGGACTGGAGGGATGAGCCATAGCAAGGCTCCAGGGCCTGAGGCAGTGGTTCCTGATGCTGCAGACTAGCCTAGGCGCCAACACCAAACAAATTAGACACAGCACAGTTAAACTGGGCATTTTAATGGGCAAGACATTTTCTCAGTAAACAGTGACCACCTTCATGTGCAGAGACCCTGGGCGGGAGATGACACTTGCCCTGCATGATGAACAGGGATGGCTCAAGGACCAGCATGCCCCCAATCTCACAGCAGCTCTTGGCTGCAAACTTAATGACTGATTTCAAAAAATACATGTCTCAACCCATTGTTTTTTGCTAGGTATGAGTGGCCCGGTGCACATAGAGCACCGCTGCCTAAGCCCTGTCAGAACAAAAAGGATTCCCTTCTGCAAGTGGTGCAACCTGTTCCCAGTTAGCAAAGCACCCAGAGTTTTGAAGAATAAGGAGAGGAATTAACACGGGCAAGGCTTAATTCAGCAATACCCTCAAGGCTTCAACCCATAAAGCATTAGCTACTCTGTTTTGTCCTCAGAAGGCTAAATGTCAAGTTTTCTAGATTCGACTACCTTGTGGTAAGCACTGGTGGGTGGTGAACAGACCTCCAGCAGGTATCCCCTGAGACCACTGAAGCCTACAGAGACAAGCAGACTTCCTTTTTGGTATTAATGCAGATTCTGTCCTAAGCTACATTTGTGCAAATATTCATATCCCATCAGTCTGGGCAATGGTCAGAAATTCCATTTGCATACCAGGTAAATCATTACAATATTCGCACAAAGCCAATATTTAATAAATTTTTTCCAATTCTATCTATAAAGTAACTTGGTTGCAAAGATTTCAAGGATAAACAGGTTTTCTGCCACTTTAGAAAAATAGCTACCTGGCTGCAGGGAGCTTTTAGTGACCTAACTTGTCACCAAGAAGTAAGTGCTGAGAAATATTGTGCTTTGCAAAAAAACCCAGCTGATTTCAGCAGAGACCCATGGCATCCTGCACTTCATGCACACGTGGGAAGAGGCAAAAGCCAGACGTTCTAATAGTACCTTTTCCATGGGAGGTTAAAGGAGATGAATTCCTTGGCTAAGGTTCATGGATAAAAAAAAAAAATAAAAAAAATCACTAGTATTTAGTTAAAAAACAAGTGCATCACCCCATATGAAAAAAACATCCAAGAGGATCAGGCTGTCTCCTTGCATCCATCACAAACCAGCTAGAGGTCACTACACACCAAGTTTACAAGCTTTGTGTTTACCTTCAAACTATCTCTGGCACTTCTCAAGCTTTTTATCTGAATTCACTTCCAAAGTAAAGAAGTTAGAAAGTTTAACTACTATCCCACATCCAGGATTTAAAAAAAAATAATCGCTATTTAGGCTTCATGAAAATAAAGTTCTCAATCCAAATACAAGTCAGTGCAGTTCAGTTGTACGAGAAATATCTACTTTGCTCATACAAAGGCAGATCAGCCAAAAAATAATAAGGCGGTGACCGTCCAGAACAGGCTGCATCAGTGCAACAGTACGCAACATCAGACATCTCCACTTCATGCGACTGCATACCGAAAACAGTCACTTAGGTCTAAGGACTTATCTTCAGCACACATTAGAGGAGCACAGGACATACTTGTGATGAAGTCGGGGTGTCCAAACCAGCCAGACTTGATCTTTAGAGGCAGAAATGAAGTCCTCCACCTAGGCACATTCACCCTCATCCACAGTCTGTCATTCTATTTGTCATCAGCAACACGTGCATATTAAGGCAAAAGAAAATAAAATGGAGAGGGAGGAAAAACCCCAAACACCTAACCCTGTGCAGTATCTCACATTACAGCCAAGCTCTCTCCTCCAGCCGTTACCTCTGTCATTTCTGGTAGCCTCAATTCTGTCGGAGATAGGCCAGGAGCAGACAGATCCCACACAGAGACACACAGCACAGCGCACCCTCAGACGCACAGGTGAAAAACAAAAAGGGAAGGAGAGAAGGGCGGACGTGATGGAAGAATGAGATGGCTCTTCTCCTGGTGGAGGTGCCCACAGCCGCAGGATCTTCCAGTGCCCTACTGCCCACTAGGAGAGAGGGTGTGGGGGCTTTGGCAAGATGATGGTTACATAAAGAAGAAGCTACAGAAAAAGAGAAAAACAGAAAAGAAACAGACGTTCAGAATTGAAATGAAAAAGTGACAGAGAAAAAAAGAAAAGGAGGAACAATATTTTAAAGGAAGTAAGCCATGAAGGGAAGAGTGCACTGGGGAAGTGTCATGCAAACCAACTACACCAACAATGCCCAGACCTCTTCAAGACACTGACTGATTTGGAGAACAAGATTACAACCACCACAAAAAGTGACCAAACACTAGCACAAACCTAGAGAGGCACCTCAAAGGCACAAAACAACCTGTCAAGAAACCTCACATTTCCTCAGCCCCTCCTGTCACATCGTTACAAAATGGCAACAGTAAAACAAAGTCACAAAGGCACGTGAAGACCAAACCATTTGGGTAAAAATATATTTCCTCTCCCCACTTCACGTGTTGGCACTACTTGTATATGTAACCTAAGCATATAGAAGAAATAACTGAGCTTATGCTATAAGGTTATTATTCAATTTGTAATTCAAAAACGGAAATATTTTAACATCAAATAAAGTGACAATATCTAACAGATGCATACATATAATTTGCATTAACACTGTATGTAGGTTACACAATTATTTAGTTACAAACATGGGTTATTTTCAAATAGCAAGGTAATAAAGTTCTACATCTAGAGTTTAAGGCAATCAGGATATTAAAAATGTATACAAATACAATATTTCTATGGCTGTTCACAGCTTTATTTTCTGTTAATTAAAAAACCCTTCATATTTGTACAGTCCCATGCTGACACACGCTGATGAGAGCGTCATGGATATCATATACTGCAAATGCAACCAGGGTCCTTGGAGAAGAAACAAATACGCTCTCTTCTAATATCTTAGAAGGGCAAATGGTAACCGGATTCAGATGGACAGATCTGATATGATCACACACAAAAAGACATTTCCATTCTCACTTCGACGTTTTTAGGAGAAGCAGAATGAGAGCTACGTGGAGAAACACTGGTCATGTTAAATAAAGACATGCTTAAAGAGAGACACAGAGATACACATCTCCTTGATGGGATTTCAAGGTGTCAAAAGCACACAGAGGGGGTGCCACAAGTTGCAGTTTTCAGGCTGCAGAGGAGCCTGGGGTGAATGCTCTCTCCCCTCCCCAGCAGCACCACACACTGCAGGAGATGGGAGATGGCCATTAAACACATCGCCTTGCATGAGCTCAGAGGGCTCCTTCCCACTTACTGCCCTCCTGGAAAGTAACTGTGCAACCCCAGTGAGGTTCTGGGGGAGCAAACCCTTATTCACCACTTCCTTTTTGGTTGGCTGCCACACACACACATGCCCAGAGCAATCGCAGCCCCTCTTAGTGACCTCCATTTTGTTTGTTTTCCCATTCTGGGGGTTTGTTCCACTCCCTGGGTACCCATCATCCCAGAAACACACATTACAGTGTGCTTTCTTGCTCCTTTATATTATTCTAAGGTTTGAAATCCACCTTGTCAGGGACAAGCAGCATTATCAGCTAGTTACCATCACTGTCGAACACACATTAAAGGCTGCAGTGCCTCTCAAGCTTTTTACCCACGCAACTGTCCGTCCACAGCTTCAGTACTGCCTTGCTAGCTCCAAGCGTGCAGAGAAGCTGTGCAGGGTTGCTTTAGGTATTCAACAGGAGATGGATGTCATGTTCCCTATGGCTTCTTCTCAACATCTCAGCAAAAGCAGATTATTGCAGGAATTTTAAAAGTAATTTTAACTGTGCCACTTGTAAGTAAGCGGACTTAAAGGACCCCCCAGAATAATACAACTGGTTTCATATCAGTTGAGAAGCAGAAAGGGTGAAGTCTCTTTCTACTGTACTTACATGCAACGGTGAAAGCATATCCAACTAGATTTGAGTGTATCATTTACTCCATGCAGAATCAAGGGCTACTGTGAAAAAAGGCATAAGTAAAGAAAAGAAAGAAGTGCAGCAGTAACAAGCTAAACATGGCCCAGGGGTTTAAGGAGAGAAAAAAAAAATCATTAACATCTCCTTTGGCAAAAGAACATAACAGTACCTTTAACATTTGCAGATTTACAGTTTATTCCCAGTTTCTCCAAAACAGCTTGCTTTTTGCTGGAGAAAGAAACCCAACCAAAAATACATTAATGCATTTGGCCACAGCTTTCTGTCAAAAAAAAAAAAAAAGCTAAGACTCAGCGGATTTCCCCTGCCAAGTGTCCCTTGAAGGGCTGTTAAATGAAGCAGGACAAATAAATGTTAAAATTAAGTTTTCTACTTGGCACCAAAAGCTTGTAATTAAGACGAGGACATGCATAGAGACAGCTGAAGCAAAGCATACCGCCACAAGCATTCAGTGATGCGCATATGATGTGACTGTAAAAAACTCATGCCAAAAACCAAACTTCTTCCTTGATAACTCAACATTTTAAAGTTGGGTTTGCCAGAAGCCATAAGAACCACAGTTTCATTTTTCCAAACAACCCCCTAGCAAACCTCTTCAACTGGACAAAAAGTGTGGTATGGTTGATAAGACCAGTAGGTGCGATTAAAAAAAAAACCCAAAAAACAAAACCAAAAAAAACCCCAACAAAAAACCCAAAACACAACAGAAAACCAACAACAATTAAAAAGAAAAAAAGAAAAAGCTCAACTATTTTATTTGCAACTCATTTATCTCCAACCATTTTTTGCTGGCTGTCCAAGACATTGTATTTAGACGTCCTCTTCCCAAAGCCATGTTTAAGTAGTGAGGGTTAAAAAGCAAGACAACCCAAATCTGAGCTGCAAATACATTTTCCAATCCAACATTTCAGAAGATACGATAGTTCTGCCTTTTTTTCCCCCCTTCCCCAGAGAGGCAAGAAATCCCATCCTGGAAACAAGCAAAGAACTGCAGTGCGTGAGACTTAGGTGGAGAGAGTTATTTTTAAGAGTGCTTTAAAGAAAGAAACAGAAGACTACCTAGCTAGGAGCAGTGGAAATGCTGGCTGTACATCAGCAGAAGAGAAAGAAATCCAGAAGTCATAGGGTAAGCATGGCTCGCCACTTCTTGGGAAGGAAGAGAAAGACTCTGTCCGAAAAGCAATGGCATAGAAAACACACATTAAACAGACCAATTTCCATAGAGTGAGGCCTGGCTTGTGCTAAATATCCTTTGCATGTTCAAGGGACGTCTAAGTGGGATATTGTCCCTGGTGCAGGAGTGCTGGGGAGGAGCACAGGGAATCTGTGTCCAGGTACCCTCTCTCTCCCTTGACATGAAATTTGGGATCCCACAGCTTTGAAGTCTGTATTTAAGTGTGTGCAGGAATCCTCTTGAGGACTCTAAAAGGATGCTGAAGGCTATGCCTTCCCCTCAGGCCCAAGTATTTGATTCCATAAGGGCTGCTAAGTCTTGCTACAATCATGCATATTGGAAACCAGGTACTATTTCAAGCGAGGTTTCAAAGGTTATGGTCAGGCAAGTAATACATGGAAAGCAGTAATGAGAAATGGTCCTTCTCCCAGGCACCTGAAGCGCCGCTTGGCTCCCACCGCAGCATTCAGCAGGTAGCTACTACACTGAACGGGAAGGGCGGCTGTAAAAATATGCCAGCACATGACAATAAATCCAAGCCAACTAGTATGATCAAGTCAGACAACAAAAACGGCAACTAATAAAAAATATCATGCAAGTGTAATAGCATGCAAGGTCAGTTAAACTTTTGTTATCTACACACACATACCCCCCTCCCTCTCCCCCAACAGCGGGACTCATATTGCTCTAACACATTAGCTATTGAAGGAATGTGGGTCGGACTGAACTCCAGGGTTTAGCCATGCCGGGGACTGGGCTGTGACCCTCATAGAGCAGTAATTCCCTGAGGCTGGTTTCTGCAGACCCAGGGACACCTTCAGCACAGGGCTATTGCAGCCAGCCCTCTGAGAGCTCGGTAGGCCAGCAGCACTGAGGACCTGATCCAGGCAATGATGCTCACTTGAGCTGCTGGCATCCAGCCCTGACTCTCAGTTCAAATTTGGGGCCAAGAATGATTTACTGGTGATGGTTTTGATGAGAAAAATATATGGTATCGTTACCTTGTCCCTCCACCCTCCCCTGAACTTCCAGATGCATTACAGTCCTGTACCCAATCCTTCTTCCTTCTTGTTCCCACTATGTTATTAGATGAGTTAATAGTTATTCATGTTAAAAAATGAAAAAAAAAGAAAAAAGAAAAAAGAAAGAAAACAGATGGCAGAGACACATTACTGCAAAAGCAGGTGAATGCAGGAACATCCTTGGCTTGACAGGCTTTATGTGAAGCTTGCACTGCAAGTTAAAAAAAGAACAAAAAACAAAAAAGTTAGCAATAATTGAATTCAAAATGAAAAAAAAAAAAAACCAAAACCAAAATCAAAGAAAGCTGGGACAGCCGACACCAGCAACCCGCTCTGGTGGGTGGGCATGCAGATGGATTATGGAATTATAAAGAAATTAAACCTCAAGACCGGGCTCTACTGCAGCCTATGACAAGCAAAAACAAAAAGAAAATCTGAAGGGGCAAAACAACCAACCACATAAGTTAGTCAAGGTTACAGCCTGTAACCACAAAGCGGTTGGTGTCTTTAAGCTTCATTTTTTGGAGTGTGCGTGGCTGGAGGGTATGGTTGCAGGTGTCCAGTTTGGGTTACTTTACACAGGCCCTCCTGCAGAAGGCCTTGTGCTTAGCCCAAATGTGTATTTCATCTCCAGGCACCACGATGTCTCCCAGCACCTCAGCCTTCACACCCAAGTCAGATCCTTCAGACATCAACACGCCCCTCTTTATACAGGGTGTTGGGCCAGGCCCCGAGGTAAGTGTTACAGCTCAGGATATAGCTGTGTGCTAGAGCTCAGGGACTGCCCCGGGACTAAGCATGGCCCACGATGGCCAGACCAGTCACACACTGGCCTGGAAACTATTATACAGAAAGGAAACTGAAAAAAAAAAGTTTTTCATCTGGTTTTCAGAAGTAGCTTGAAATAAACAGAAACAGAGCCCAAACAGATGGTCCCGGCTCCTGGGGGGGGGTTGAGGGTGAGCAAGTAACACAATGGCATGTGTTGAGGCATGCATGGGGCCATCTACCAAACAACAAGCAAGCACCAGAAGGCTATTTGCTGTTCCTATTTGGTTTTGCCAAGTCCATTGCCAGGAACCATCTCTAGATTGTTCAGATTTGAAACAGTCCCATCCCAAAATTATGGCATGGGCTCGGTAAGTATGCTCAGCCCCACATTCAGGAAAGTACTTGAGTACGTGTCTACTCTACAGTCACACAAGTGTCTCAGGTACACAGATGTGCTGTCCTGAAAATAGCAACACTTCTGTTATCAGGCCAGAACTGCAACAATTTTAAATGAAAAAAAAGCATAAGCTACAGGAATCTGAGAAATGCATTACAAAAAAAAGTATAAAAAGACAAGTTGCTCCTATAGGAATAGTCTGGAAATCAAAGTGCCAAAGTGCTCCCTCATGGAGCTTGGCCAGCAGCAGATTTCACCCCGAGCCTTCCCTCCGGCTTGCATAGCGCAGTGGAAAGTCTCTGTTGTTCAAGTTGGAGAAATCTGATCCCACCCTGAGAAAAAAACATTTCTGGGGAGGCTACAAGGATCGTGCATGGCAAGGATTTCCTCTGGCAACTGCACAAGAACCACCGTGTCGGCACAGAGAAAAGATTGAAAGCCTTACCTATACAAACTGCAGCTTTTCATTAGAGTGCAAGGAGAAACTTAAAGCCTTTAGAAAAACCAAGGTGTACTACAAGACAGAAGCATCCGCATTTCCCTTTAAAGCCTCCGTTAGTAATTCAGACACTAAAGAACAATTAAAGCAGTTACAGCACCTGGTGTGGAGCGACACTGAAAGGACACACTAAAACACGTGCATGTTCCTCATGACTGGATTTCTGTGAATGCATCAGCAAAGCAGAGACTGTGTTTGTCATGGTCACTAGAAACATCCATGTATCACACCCACAACATTGTGCATGTGCCAGCCAACTTCACAGAAGCAAACAGCTAACGCTGACTACCAAAAGTTACAAAACTCCCCAGACCATTATATACGGCACTGGTCTTAGATATAAGAGGTGAAAAATCTGACTGCAGAGTTCTTAAAAATATTAAGCTATCAACTCCATTTAAGAGATAAGAAAAAGGGTCTTCAAAATTTTCCATTCTGTCTTGGAAACAGGTCACCATGTCTGAATTCTCATGTGAGAGAAGACCGGTGTTTCAGCCTATCCTATTTACAGGCATCGTCCGAGAAGGGTATTTCAGCATGCTTGGAGGTTAGCTGCCGACACTTACTGTTTCTACAGTTCAGCATGACACTGATCGGTCTGCAATGATTTCTTTACCCAAGCAGAGCATGCAGCACACAAGCACTCTGTATTTCAGCCGGTGCCAAAGGCCAGGTTCTCAGTTAGCATAAAGCAGCATGGCTCCATAGGAGCTACATCAATTTACATCAGCTGAGGAACTAGCCCTAGGCCCTCCCCACTTTCCCTGGGGAAGCCAGGGGCAGAAGCAACAAACGGGCACCGAATCAGCAGCAGAGACAGGGAACATGCAGTGAGTGTCAGCGAACTTCCCAAAGTATAAAAATATACTAGTATATATGCAATACAACAGAATCTCATAGGCTCACACGCTGTAAGACAGCTCAGACCTGGCTTAAGTTCACAGGTTAGCAAGGGAGACAAAAGTGTCTGTACCATATCCCTACTATCATTTTGGTTCATTCAATAGTGACAGCTTAGCATTCATTCAGTAGATTACTCTGCCAGAGTCTATTAAGGAATGCACCCCTTCGCTATTGGCTGTTAAGAGAAGCGTGGAACTGTCATTTTTGTGTGTGGGTTAAAGAAGCATTTTTCAGTGAGATTTGCTGCATTACCATCTTTACAGCTTTCCCGATTGCAGTTATCAACTACTGCCATTATCTCAAATGACCCAGACAGGACTTGCATAAGTACCCCCTTACTAGGTACCGCAAAAGCAAATGGGAATTACAACAGAAGGCCTCAAAGGAGCCTCTGTTACAGTAACCTGTCTGGCTGTACTAAACAGTCTACTTCACCTCTGCAAGGTTGGTCTGGCTTTGCTGTACATCATAGATCATATAAAAGTGGACCTTGTGTTCTGGTTTTTAAAGCACACTGAAGTAGCCAGTATCATGTAATAAATAGGGGGTCTCTTGCACTAATAGCAAGCTATACATAGCCAGCTCCAGCTATAGGCTGCCAAGAAGGGGACTGCATCAATTTGGATCAATCTAGAGCTCAAGGTTTAGAGTGGAGCTCTGCAGTGACTTAACTCTGAACCGAAGCCAACAGCGGTTTCCTCCAGTTTCAAGAGAAGCAGAGTTAGGTCCAAACTGAGCTCATGTGAAAATCCTGCCTCCAAATACTGACCATGGGACAGACTCTGTCCACAGATACATTTGGTGCCTACTAAGCAGCTGGAATCTCAGAGTACTGGAGGGTATAGGATTATACTCCTAGCACACAAATAGAAAACATAGAAAACAGCGCCGTTGTCTTTACTAAAAGGTACAGGTTTCTTAGCATATGTCAACTTGATATAACCACAAATGCTATTTACCTGCAATCACGGTACCATAGTAGTTTGGTTTTTTTTTTAAAAAAACTAAACCAAAACTTCTTGTCTTTAAGCTTCCAAGTACTCACTTTTGGCACTGGCATTTCCCATGTAAAAAAAACCATGGTGGTTTTAGTTTCTAATCTACTTCTACTTAAAACTATAACCTTAAGGAATGTGAATGGGAACTGAAAACTACTCTTGGATGAAAGAAAGGACAGGTAGACACCCCCTTAATAATTTTGGCTCAGGCAGATAAATCTGAGTCCAGAACATCCCAGAGCTGTTCCAGAAGATGCTGGACAGATCACAGGTCAAACCCCCACCATCCGATTGCTCTCCCATACCAGTCAGACTTCAACATAAAATTAGATGTCCCTGGCCCACCCTTTAGAAAAAAATATTTTATTTGATCAGGCTGATAAAAGCCCAGTTTCCAGTCTGGTAATGGGGAAAAGCAAATACAGACATGCAGCAAAAAAGGAAAAACAACCTCCCAAACTGTAATAAACCCTACAAAGGATGTGGGTGACATCCGCTTACTTTTTCTTGTCCTTGTCTTTCTTGGTTTGTTGAGAACCTGCCTGCTGAGCCTGTGACTGTAATAGCTGAGCTGCTGCCTTCTTTTTTTGAAAGTTGTTCAGCTCTTCCTCAAGTTCCTTCTTTTTGTCTTCCACTTTTTTCTTCTCTTCTTGGTGAGTCCTCTTTAGATGGTCAAACTTTTCATGAAGCTGCCGAGACAGAGACAATGATTATTGGACGGGAAGAGAAAAATGTTTCACCCTGATTACTGGTAATGATGCCTGAAGCGGTTCTGCTGGCACTGACACCCCACTGTATTAGTAACAAGATTTTGGCCTGCCCCAAGCACATCTGACTGTGAGAAAGGCCCTGCAATTAACACTTCACACACAGATGGTGGGAGTTTAAGTTGCTGTAAGAATAAAACAAGTCTCTGAACACCTTCAAATCCCCACGTTCCATCCCTCATTGCTTTGTACCTAGCAGACTCTCTCATGCTTACGCAAAGCAAGAAAACGTGGTCATTCAGGGTGACACACATCTCTGGGGCTCTTTGGACCTCTGTAAAAGTCCACGCTCCTCCATGAGGCCCAAGAAACAGCCCCCTCCCCTAGGGAGACATGTACGTTTTCTCTGTCCCCCAGTAATCAGTGCTGACCTACACGCACTGAGCAAGGTGCTGGTAGGGCAGCTCTCAAAAAGCTCTGTCACTCCCTCTACAGCTATGCTGAAAGGGACTTACTGCCCTCTGGGAAGTCCTTATCTGCTTACTGAAAGTCTCCAGAAAGGTGTGACTGCTAAATGGCAGCACTGGCTGTACCATAGCTGAAGATCCACTGCAAATTAACATTACTTTGAGTAGCAAACCTATTCTCTCCTTTGGGTGGGACCGAAGAGGTGGAGAGAGCAGAGAGGACTTCTACAGCACAACAAGGCTGGCACTTCTGTGGGATATGTAGCCACAGCCACTGTTACTGTCACAGTGCAGCACCTGCCACTTGCTCCATGGTATGTGTCCTCCTCCAGCTGCCCAAAACCAAGGAATACTCCTGCTCCTTTTTATAGGCACAGAAAAGTGGCAGAGGACTTGTGTGACGGGCTCACACCACAAGTCCATGGCAGAACTGGGAACTGAGTTCCTATCTGCTTCTTGTGACACCTTTGCAGGCTTGATGTTGGAAATCTAGACGCCTACCTTCTCAGAACTCTGTTGGAGAAGCCCCAGCCTAAACCCCCCCACACAGTTCTCTGAGTTACAATATACTCACATCTTTCTCTGCTTCCTTCAACTCTGCTTCCTTCTCCTTCACTCGCATGACGAACATCTGCCTCATTTCATCCTCCTTCTTCTGGAGTTCGCCCAGGAATTCATTCCTCTTTGCTTCATAAGTCTCCTGGAGACTGTTAAAAACACAATAAAAACAAACAGTCAGAGGTGCGTTTCAAGCTGAGTCATGAGTTTCCAGCCTTTGGGGATCTTACTACATTGTCTCGTCACAAAACATTGTCAGAGGCCCCTGACTACCGCAGAGGCATGATCACCTCTACAGAAACCAGTCCTAGCTTGCTAGGGGGCAGCAGTGGGAGACAAACTACCAAGAGAAAAAACAAGCACACTGGTCAGGATCCTGTAAATCACTTGGCAGGCAGAAGGACTGTCCTCAAAAAGAAGCAGCCACTACGTAAGCATCTACAGCAATCCCTGATGCTCACATGGATTGATCTGCTTGAGTTGAGTTACACCTCCTCACTTCTCCCACTGTTGGTGCTGAATCTCTTCATTTGAAGTGCAAGATATGTGGAACAGACATGGGCATATCAGAGTGTGAAATTTGGCTTCATGTAGTTCATTAAGCGTGACACTGACACAGAGCAAAACTAATTTTGACTACTCATCGCTAATGGATTCAGATCAGGGGCTTTATTTAGATAAAGCCACCTTGGGAGACCTCTCTCTTTCTCCTTTGGCTGTCAAGGGAGGCTGAGCCTTTGCAAACGAGCAGCGGCATTCCTCCCCCAAATAACCACATTACTGGATTCCTTCATTCCTTTATTTCTCCCTCTACTTCTTGGCATTCCTTCATTTCCCCAGCACTGAGATACCGCAGCAAAGATCTGGGACACAAAATATGTTGTCCGTGCACCTCTGAGATTTTCAGAGCCTCTTAGGAACTCTGGATGCCAAATTCCTCTTCATTTTATTCCTTAAATGGATTTGGATATTTCAGCCATAATGATAGTGTGGGAATGATAACTATTTCCCCCAAGATGTTTTTTTGAAAATGCTTTTTTTTAAAATGAAAACTTCACTGATATCCATTGCATCCATGCGCCTAAGGAACACATAAACCACTGGGCTAGTACAATATCTTAATCTCATTAAAGCCAAGCTTTTGCCTTTCCTGGCACATGGTAGAGGTTTTGGTGGCTTTTTTGTTTGTTTTCCTTCTTTTTTGGGGTGGGGTGGGTGTTGAGTTTGGGAACAAAACTTGACAGATAAACCGAAGTATTGGGTTTAACACTGCTAACTGATGGGCACTTCAGTTGCCTCCTAAAATACTCCACAGACACAACACCCAGAGCTGCTCTTGCAGAGCACTGGCCACCCTGGAGGAATCACACAATTCCAGCTGACCACGCCAGCTTTCCACATGTTGAAGCAAAAATGCCAATTCTAAAAATGACAAAAACCTTTTCATGGGAGAACAGGGCAAGAGGTATTTTGGATTCTTAACTGAATCAAGGACCAGAACACTCACAGCAGATACACATCAAGATACTCGAATCAAACCGTCCCTAAAATTCAGTCTTGGATTTAATCCTCTGACTGTGGACACAAACTTAGAGTCATAAACCCTTCTGAAAGGTCTGGCTAGCACCTAGGAAAACCCTAAGGGCAGATCAGTGTTCACTGCTCAGTGAACAAAAATTACATCTGCAATTAGTGACACACTATACTAGGGAGCAGCAGAGCTTTACAGACTAAACCAGAAAACTCTGCAATGCAGGATATGATTAGCAGTGTGCAAACAATTTCTCGCAAAGTTCATTTCCAAAAACACAATGTTGGGTGAGGGGCAAGCAGGAAAAGGTTGGCAGGAGTGAGGTTGGCAGGGCTTGCTGTTAAATTGTCCCAGGTTCAATGCTAATCCCAGCTTCAAGCTTAAAAATTTATCACTAACCTAAAGCCAGAAAGCTTAATTCTCTACTGAAGTGACTCTGACTTCCAGAGAAGCAAAGTTCTCAGAGAAACTGGACCAGCAACTCCAGTCTGCATATGAAAAAAAACACTTAGAGCCCTAAGGAATAACAGTCCAAACTGACTGGGATGCCTGCAGCTTCTCACAGACAAAGACAACAAGGAAATTTGCTTTTTAAGTATACAAACATACGAACCCAGATTACAAGAGTAACTGGATTCCCCAACACACACGCCCACACTGATTAATGCCCTTGCAAATAATATTATTTTAAAAGTAGTATTTTGAGTAAATTAACCTGAGCAGCAGAGAAACCAGGCCACAGATGCAGGACAGCAGAAGGTTCCCCGTGCAACACAGGACTCCATTTCATGGAGCAGATGCCTACATGGGCACTGGCACTCCCTCCTCACCTCCTGCAGCTTGAACAAGCAGTGGGGGCTCTGGCACCAAGGTGGGTCTCACAACTACTGACAGCCACCCTTTTTCACACCTCGCACAAGCATCCACACAGCACCAAAGGTTTGCTGGATTTTTTAGCCCTGCTCACCTCGAGATTTACAAAAGGCTCCCTGCTCCTGGCTAAAGAGCAGTGGTCCCTGTGGCTCCCAGGGCCCAGACTCAGGGAAAGGCATGCTTTTGATCCCTGGTCTCAGAAGGAAGAACAGAAAGAACCAAACCTACTGTTTCCCTCATTTCAGACATACATCAGCCTTGGCCAAACAGCTTGGGATCACGGGTTTTGTTTGTTTATTGGAGGGAGGAGGCACCCAGAGAGAACTGTTCTGAACTAGCACGTACCAGATGGAGAAATTCTGTACATTTTCATTTCCTTTCTACTTATAGCTTGGTCAAAAGAGGCCTCGTGTACAGGAAGCAATGGAAATTCCTCGGATTCCTCAAAGGGAAGGGCTGAGCCCATCTTAAGTCATTGCTCTCCAGAAAGGAAATCCAATAAAGCTTCACACTTGGGCTTTGTAACAGATCTGGGCTCGACTGCTTCCAGAATTTCTATGCCTCAAAAGAAATGCAGCTGCATAAACTCAGCAAATCACAAATAAAACCCTGAACTGATGCAAACTCCATGTCATAGCACAGACCTTGCTTGGCTCACCATGGAGTGCTGTGTTCCAGAAACATGAACACAAGGCCCCCAACTCTGCCTTCTGCTCTGGAGCCCACCTGGCTTTCCCCTGTTGAGGATCAGAGATGAACCATGTCTGCAGTGATCCGTACAAGTCAGCTGTGTGGCTGTTGTCTCAGGGATTGGCACACCAATTCCCAATATGCACGTGTGTTATGGGGGCAAACCCACACTGGCGCACATTTCATCCTGACCACCTTCCCCTGGGGCAGAGAGGAGCGTGGGATGCTGCTAAGGCAGCGGGTGAATTTACTGGGGAAAAGCTGAGGAGGAATGGGAAACAGGAAATGAAAGGAGAAAACAAACACTCCCTCCCAAATTCCCACACAGCTGTTGTCCCTGGCTAATGACTTGGGCTTCAGACCAATAAAACTGTCGGACAGCATAAACACTGTATGAAGTAAAAAGCCAAACCTCAAGCATCAGACCACAGCACCCTATTCACAGCACACTTTGGACCAGCTGTGAAAAGCTCTAGGAGGGTCAACAAGAACATTTATCTCACGATCTTCCCTTTGGTAACCAGTGATACCTCGACACATGAGTTACCGTCACCTCAGCATGGACACAGCTGCACTTTTCAAGCCCAGCAATTTTATGTGGCCCTGACCTGCAGTCGAGCAAGCTGGTTGCAAAACACAGTTAAGTCTGCAGTGGAGGAAAGGGGGCACTAATGTATCACCTGACCATCTCAAGCCCATACCTATTTCAAGGGCAAAGCATTGAGAGGAATTTCTGAAGTGAATAACAAACTCACTCTTCAACAGATTCATTCAAGTCTCCACAAGGCTCACAGTACTGCCAGAAGGAAGAGGAATATAAGCTTCACTTTAGATTGGATAATTCACAGGTTTTAGGAAAGCAAGAGCAAGGGTGGAAGAAAAAATAATATTATAAAAGTCAGCTTTCCAACAGCAAAATTAAAATCTGCGACCTTAAAAAAAAACGACGTCAACAGTGTGAACAGTTAACTGATGTTAACTGTTCCCACTAAGACATGCCTACAAGCCTTAATTAAATACTACAACCAACTCTCTCACTGCATCTTACAGAAACTTGTCCTCTTCCATGATGCTGACGACACAAAGAAACTAGGAAACAGTAGTGATCCTCATGGAAGGCTCTGCATTACAGCAGCCTCTCACCCATGTGCAGCAATGGACAGTTTCAAACATGGACAGCAAAATCAGTTTGAAGAGTCCAGTGATGAACTGCCCTCCACACCGGCTGACAGGAGGAGCATTTGGAAATCAATCCTTTTGACGCTTTTTAGTATGGGCTGACAGATAACAGGTGGGAGATAGACTGAAAAGCACACGCTTGTGAGTGAGGGCCAGCAGCTCATATTTAATATGGCAGAGCAAGGGATGCTCAAACAAGGGCGCAAAGAAAACTGATACAACTTAAGCAACAGGGTACAGATAGATCCATGGACATGTGCTTCTTCCTGTGAAGCTTTCCAAGTTGATCTGAAATGGGTCATATTCTGCCCTCAAAACACATCACCTTCAAGCACCCTGGCTCCAGGAAGCCTGTATAGCCCTGCTGCAGGGTTAAAAGCATTTTCAAAATCTTAAGGCAAGAATCGGCTTTCTCAACCAACCACCCAAGCTTTTCCTGGGCTGATCCTGTACAAATTCTAGGCCCTGAGGGCAAGACTGCATTGCACAAGATTTTCTTCCCCAGCCACACTTTAGATCTCTGCTGCTCTAAGTGACCATGGCTATTCCCTCCCATGTTCCTGCAAACATCGGCAACCCCAACTCCAATCTCTCTGATTGTACAAGACCTGAGTTACGCCTTCCTACCTGAAAGGCTTGCTGTCTGGATCTGTGTCCTTGAACCCCATCTCTTCAAGTTTGCATCGCCTGTACAACTCATAGTGTCGGGTGTGCGTCTGCTCTCTCAAGTCCTCCATGTTCACTCGGATCAGCATCTCCCGCAGCTTCACAAAGTCACAGTGATTTTCATTTTCAACTGCAAAAAAAGACAGACCATCCATAGAGAGAACATTAAACCCAGGATACAGGCTCCTCCTCTTTCCCTGGACTTGGGCCCTAGTTTAGCAAGCCCGAGAGCTCTTCAGGCACACATGCAGAACTCCAAGTCAGCCTGTACCAAAATGCCTTGCTGATCTGGGGGTGAAACTATCCCATGCCAGCACACAGGCACCAGTTCAAAACCCTACAGAGGATATGCAAGATCTCTGTGTTGCCCATCTGTCACAGAACTCCTGTCTTCCTGTACACTTCTGCACCAACAAGGGGATGATCCATTTGCACAGAGGATTTCACTTCCCACTCAAATCCACTGTAAATCCAAGTGACCAATGGTGGGCATCAAAGTCTGTTTGTAGCAGTGGTGAAAGGAAAGCTTATGAGAAGACCCCACCAGAGAGGCTGTACCCTTTCCATGCCAGCTAACCTTACAAAAGAGCCCTAAACCCCTGTTCCTGGCACTGAAGGGAGGTGGCACAGAGTATAAGATAGCTTCCCATAACAACTTCTATTCAGAGCAGGGTCTGGTGTGCCATGGTCAGACCCTGGCTGAGGAGGATGTTCAGCCTGCAAAGGGTCTGAGGCCAGAGGGCTGCACCATTCAGTGCAGGCAAACGGTCTGGGTGTGCTTAAAGACTACGGGTAGAGATTCTGTTAGGTATCTCTGCTGCTAACCAACAGCTTTGCAGCATGCCTCCATGGACACGGCGAAGCACTCCAGCTGCTCCCCTTCAGACCACAGCAGCTGTCTCTGCAAAGGGGCAGTTCAGGGCCAGATCTTCAAAGTCTCTCTGGTACTCAACTAAATCTCTTTGACTATCTGGTCCTAGTTTCCTGGGAACAGCAAGTAGCCAGCAGGGTATGTGTTAAGTCCAAGACTTCCCAAACATACCAACTTCTTTCCTAATTGTGAGTTTTTCCCAGTATTATCCTCTGGTGTATGCTGCTAAAGACAGCAAGTCTGAAGCTGCTTCAGGATCAGCTTGTACTATTGAGAAAAACTCAGTTGGCTTTGCAGAACTGAGCTGCGAATGTTCCCCTGCAGCTTGCTGGGCCATTCTCCAGCTGGATACACAGCTGAAGCCACAAGCAGACCACCACCATCTCAACCCTGTACTTCTCAGCACTGGTTGGGAAATCAAGGACCAGCTCTATCTTTGGCAGCCTCAGTCCAGCCTGGGTTGCAAACACAGCCCTAGCCAAACTCTGCTCTCCGACAGAAAGGAGATTTTGGTTGACTTTATGGGGGGTTGCATACTTAGGCTGTATGTCTTGTCCTGGTATCCTAAACTGTGGACATGCCAAGGAGTCAGGGTTAAATTAATTCCGCTCCCACTTCAGGCTGAGAGCTCAGAGCACCTCCTGACCTCCCTGGAAAATCCCCCAGCTACAAGTTTGCCTACAGGCTTGTGTGCAAGGTCCAAAATTAATTACTCTGCTACCCAAGCCTTCCTTGTTGCTCACACTTTTTTGCTGGTAAAGCATAAGGAACAGAAAATGGCAAGTTTTTATTTTTCAAGCTAGTTATTTAACATCTAGTAATGCCACCCTGCTCTTTCCCAAAGCAATGGCTAGGTTGCCATCAACACCCTGACACCAAACTCCCTCTGTGTCTAGCTCTAGATCGCAGAGCCCTGATTTTATAGAGAAGTCTTAGAGCTGTGATCTTTGGTAAGGACCGTTCAGAGATCAATGCATCTTTCTTCAGAAGGAGAGAGGATGACAAGGTCTTATTTGTGCTTTTAATAACATACCCTGCACAACACCCCACGGGTACTGTCTGGCTTTTGCCATCTTATTGCCAATCTTCACTTCTTCAGTGCTGCCAACTACAGCAAAAGGAAGGTGGACCTACAAAAGGAAAGGGACAATGAGGTTAGGGAAGGGATTTCCTTTGTTGCCATGCCAAGGATTGTTTCTAAAGCAAGCTGTTTACTGTGGCAGCTGTGCTAGATTTAAGTTGCTTCAACGTCTTTGCAATTTATCTGGTGTTTTAGAAAGACCAGCAGAACAAGCTGGATGGAAAACCTGCTTGGACTTAAAGTCCAAAATTCTTAAGCCCTAAAAATACAAGAGATGTGCATATTTTTCATGTAATTACAAAGCATGACTATCTTAAGCACAGAAGTAATTTTATAATCTGGAATTGAGTTTGAACACTGAGCAAAAATAACGGTCAAATAATAAAAAAAGAAAAGAAAATACGTCCTCCCAAGGACAGTAGGCTAAAAATTCAGGGGGTTTCTGCTGCTAGAAATAACTGCTAGTGCTTCCTCTCAAAAAGGGCAAAGCTGTGAGCAAGGGGAAGAGGGGAATCGACCCAGCCCTGGGCCAAGACATCTGAGTCACCAAGCTATGCTACGTCCCAGTCTCTCCATGGGTGTGGTGGCGGCGACAATTGGGGATCTACTTCCAGAAGCATGCCTGCTGCCAGGAGAGAGCTTTCCTCTGCCACCAGCCCACCCCGGCGGTGCTCTCCCTGCTTTAACAGCATCCGAAAGGGCTGGGTGCAAGCTCTGGGAGTGGGTGCCATGTTGGCCACGCTGTGGTCACAAACTGGGCAGGAGGGGAAGAAGCCAAGTGGCAGAGGAGATGTGATTAACTGGCCAAGGAGTTTCTCAGCAGCTGGGCTGCACCACAGGAAGCCAAAACACACCCTGCACATGCTGCACCCTGGCAGAGCCATGTCCTTCTCTATGCCAGCTTCTCTTTGCTGAGAACACAACCAGACAGGGAAAAGAGGAAATACAGAGGTCTGGAGAGGGTTTGATATCTGGCTGGATGGGACAATTGCCCTTCTACAAGCAGTTATGCAGAGAAACTCATTAAAACCTTCATGTTGTAAGGAAATTGCTTAACTCTGATGTCTCTGTTCTCTGCAAAAACATGGATAACTCAACCTTGTCCTTGCACTTGCTTTTGAGTGCCCTTGCTTTGGGGTTGGGACATCCTCTTGGGTGTTATGTGCCCTGCTAAAGCCACTCAAAGGCCCTGTCAGCACTGCTGTGATGCATGTCACTGCCAGAAACCCTGAGCTCAGTTTCCTCCCTTTGGGCTCCAAGTTAGTCCCATGGGAAACAGTTGTTTCCCTCTGTAAACCCCACTAAAACATTTGGTCTACCCCCACCCTGTCTGCACTCAAATCCCACTCCTATTGTTAGAGGAAAGGGAAAGGAGGTGAAAGCCAGAGCCCTCCCCACTGATGGCCACTGGCCCTACGAAGAGCTGGAACATCACTGATGACACCCCCGTCTCTCATCGGAAACTGAAACAAAGGCAGAAGTGAATCACCCCCCGCTAAGCAACAAGTGGTCGTTTAGGACAGGAAACCGAAACCCCAGCCCTTTGCCCTGACCCCACTGGGGCCCTGCCTCCCATCCTCTTCCTTTCCCAAGATGGGAATACTGCAATAAGGAAGGATATAAAAAATGCTCAGAGAAGAATAATTTGTCAGACAATGAAGTATATCAGGCCAAGCAGCCCACATGTGACAGGTATCTCAAGCTCCAAAAGCCTTCTGGTCAGCCTAATGTCTGTGCTTAAACTGCAGTTTTAAAGCCAGAAGAAACATGGTACAATGTGCCCCACCATCAACAACGGGCCCACGCAAACCAAGGCAAGCAAAACCCCGCCAAAAAAAAACATACACTCATTGTGGCATTTATCTCGGCCACTGTCTCTTCATCCGTTGGGAACTGGTAGATCTGGACGCCGTTGCTGACCAGCTCACTCATGATTTTACTCTTGAACTTGTGCAACTCATTTTTTGCAATGGTGTCAGCCTTGGCGATGATGGGGATGATGTTCACCTGCAAGACAGAGACAGCACCTCCACATACAGGACTACACATGTTGCATCACTGGGAGAGCACGGAGAGCAGCACACATCCTGCGGCAACGGCCCTATAAATGCCACCAGCCACCACCCCCGCAGCGGAAGACCTTCCCCAGGGCTGCTACTGACAGCACTGCTGCCTTGCACAGGATTTTCAGGCAGCAGCAATGATGGCCTTAAAAAGAAGTCAAATGCTATTTCCTGTCTGTCATGTTGCCCTCGTCATCCGAATTGGCTGGACAGGAAATGCTGTCATAAATTATTATAAGCTGTTCCAAGAAAAAAAAAAAAAAAAAAGGTTTGGGGGGAAATTACCAGCTAGGCTCTAGGCACTTCTCCATGCCAAGAAGTTACTGCAAGAAGCACACTCAGACAATAGCCTCTAGTGGGTGTTTGCTTGGGTGTTGTTATCAGGCACACCTGGGTGGGCAGCGGTGCTGTGGTTACCCCACTGGAGGTGGGAGCAGATGGTCATACCCAGCCAAGCTGCACACAGGGTGGGGGCTGGCAGCAACACAGGCACGCTTCCTCCACCTGCATGCCCTCACATGCTCCCATACATTACTGCACTGCAGGACTAGGGTTGATTTATCCCTGCACAGCTCCAAGACAGTCATCCAAAGGAACCACACGATGGTGTTAACACAGAAGTGAAAGATGAGTTACTGACTCTCTTCCCTAGACAGGCTGTTTGCAACACTGGCAGCAGGATGACTCTCAGTGTAGCTGAGTGCACAGCAAGCACTGCACAAGCACCCACTTTGCTGGGAGAGGGCAAGAATGCATTAGGAGGAGGAATCCTGCTTTCTTTCCCTTTCTACTCCCCACAAAGAGACCATTTCTGCATTTGATCTTGCAGGACTTGCTTTTCCTTGCAACAGCAGAAGAAATTGTAGGGAGGAAGATGTTGATATTGACCTATATGAAGGGATTTTAACTACAGGACTTGAAAATCCTCTTACATTACATCACTTAATGATACTCAGAGGATGGTCTGGAGTTATTAAATTCCACTTTGCCAAAAGACAGAACATGAATGTCAATAAACTCACTTTACCTAAACCTCCATAACCCTATTTTAAGTTGAACAGAGCAGGGATCCTTCTCCATCACTGCATAAACCCCAATCGATAGGTCACTCCAGGAAATAAAGGACCATTGTCATCATTTATCTTCTGCAGAACCAGGGTCCAATGAGTCAAAGGCTAAGGTAGACTGATATAAATTCCTTAATCATGATGTAAAGAAGCACAGGGTAAGCTCAGTTTAAATACTCAGGTTTTACATTTGTAGTTTGGTTATTTTCCCCAAAAGAAGAAAGATTAAACCTTCTTGCGAGTTTCTAGTAAAACACCATGGTTTAAGCCAAACTCAGTTCCCATTCTTGCTAGTCAGAAGGATGACTGAAAAAGCACATGCTGAGTAACATATTTATTCAGATTCTTCTTGTTTATCAGATCATGGTTAGAATAACACTACATTTGCCATAGAAGACCAAATCACTGTTTGTGTCTAGTGAGATGCAGTCAGAGCATGCAGATGCAGCATTTTGATTTGTTTTTCATTGATTAGTAAGATGATCTAAAATATTTTAGATGTACCTCTCATCTCATACACACTTACCAAATCAGGTTTTGTACAAGAACCTAATTAATCTGTTGGACAAAGTGAAATAGAGATGGCAATCATGTCTGAGTACTAGAACCAGTTTAACTTTAACCTCTCATTTCCATTTATGCATTTAAAGAGGAAAACACACTTTTCTCTCTTTTTCAACAGCCAACCAATCCTTCAGTTGTCAACAAACCTGTCACTGAACTTGGCTGAGTTAAGCTACAGGAAAGCAAAAAGAACGGTAGTCTTCTTACACATCCTCATAAATACAGTTTCCTGCTCTCAGATTGCTAACTTCATAGCACAGCTGGGGAGCAAGCAGCCAAATTTCCCAGCCCAAGATGGGACTGGAGAGGGTAGGAGCCCAAATTCTTAATAAAGCTCTGCAGCGTATCAGTGATTAGTGACACATTCCAGCAGCTAGCCCAAGGTGAAGTTTTCACAGAGCACCTCTCCAATTCCCCGCTGATAAAAACAGTGTTTTTCTGAACAGGTTTATTTAAGCCTGTGGCAAAATCATAAAATCACTAGTAGGGCCATGCAAGGGTCATAATGTGAGCAGCAAGTACCTTACTGTCGAGCTTCTTCATGGTGACCAAGTCTAGGGACTTCAATGAGTGTCCAGTTGGTGCAATGAAATACAGGCAGGCGTGAATCCTGGTGTCATGGTAATTGAACAGGGATCGTTTGATCTTCAGCTCTTCTTGCAAGTAGGCTTCAAACTGTGCATCGATATATTCTACTATAGGCTTGTAGCTGAAGAGAGAAAACACAGCACAGAGAAAACCAGGGCATTCACTGTTGGGACAACAAAGGTCACTGATCAACACTCGGGAAGCTTCACGGGTACTCTACATTATGGGACAAGCACAGCTGTTAGGACCCTCCATGCCCAACCTAAAGTCCCTCCTTAGCAAGCATGTGTTTCCACTTGGTACGCAGGGAGAGCATTATGGACGTATTAGCAAGACCAAGTGGCAGAGAGCCTGGACTTCAGGTGCATGGAAACCACACAAGGCTGCTGCCCTGTAAAGAATATATTTTGCGGTCACTCCAGTTAAAGTCTGAGCTGCTGCTCCGTCAATGTCTGAGAATCATCCGATACCAGAAAACATAAACTTGGAACCACCACCTACCCTAGCTTATCCAAAAGATTTTTTTTGTGTGATCTTAGAAGAGGGAAGGGAGATTCACAAGGGGATAAAAGGAACTTTTTGGTAATTGGAGTCTGTGAGCAAAGGTCAGGAGACAACTGCACTGTTCATGTACTCTGAGGGGACCACTCTGCTGGAGAAGAAAAAGCTGGTGCAGTGTAGCATGCCCTGATCTAACCGATTGTGCTTCTGGAAAGGAAACTTCTCAGTTTGTTTCTCCCTCCACCAAGGGCAGCCTCAGGATCTCCAGCCCAAGGAAGCTCCCGAAGGGGGGCACTGAGACCAAGGCACCAAGAGAACACTGCCACTGCCTCAAGCACTGGATTCACAGCAGTGTTCAATGCCCTCCCTCAAAAGCAGTTGCGAGGAGGAAATAAACCATCAGGAGTTTTCAGGTCTTCCGGAAACACCCTTCTGACAGGCAGCCAGCAAAGCTCTGGTCTGGCCCCTCTGCTTCGGATGCCAGAGCAGCTGTTTGAGCAGTTGCTCAAAACCCTTGGTGAAGCAGAGCAGACTCTTACTTGATTTACCAAGTGAGAGCTATAGCAAAAGACAGCCAGTGCTGCATGAGGGCAGACAACACCAGAGACCCCGTAGGGTGCTACCACACACAGCTTGTTAATTTGCAGGCACAGAGGGTGTCATGAATATCACGGTGGGTTTGTAACACATCTGCTGCTCTCGTTTCTTTGCTTTTGGAAGTTCTGTCTCTGACCACGAGATCCCAAAAATCTCAGGCAGAGGCATGTTGCAAAGAAAGCACTGAGGCCTTACACGGGGAGATTGTATTAGAGAAAGCACTGTAAAAAAGCAGAGCAAAAAAAGGACTGGGAGGACTCAAAACAGGAGCACAGAGAAAATCCCACCCACTGCAGCCATATGTGTCGGCACACAGCAGGAGGACAAAAGCTGTCCCTAAGCTCTGCTGCCCCGTGACTGCCCCTCTCTCCAGCTGCCCAGGAGAGAAGTTGGAGGGGCTTCACCACCAAGACTGTCGGCTCTTCTTGTCTGCTGAATGAAGCAAATGCAAAGTGACCCGACAGTAACAAGCTGCAGAGCATCCCCACTCTGAGCACCTGCTCCTCCTCTGAGCAGCTTCTGTTCTCGCCCGAGAGCATATGGCAGCGTCTGACGTGCAGAGCTCACCCTCCAGCCAGCACGTGCCCCTTGCCGTTTTGGCTCTGTAGCGTTAGTTAGGAGCAGGAGCCACAAAGCAGGGGCAACAGTTATATTTTGATGTCAGGTCAAACAGCAAAGAAGCATTACAGAAATAAAGCATTGTTAAATCTTTTTTTTTAAATCTACAGAGTTTTCCTTACGAAACAGGAATCAGAACCTGCTCAATCTCCATGCTAACAGGGATCCCGAGGGCAACTTTGATGTTAAGCTTACATTCACTGTTTATCTACCTAGTGTTCTAATAGCTTTTGGTCAGCATGCCCCTCACTCGGCAAGGTGCAGAGAAGAGGATCACAAACAACCCTCCAGAGGGAGCTGGGATTACTGCAACAAGGGAACATAAGGCTCTAATGTATAGGAAATGTATGAATTAGCACATTAGCCATGACCACAGAAGGACTAGTATTAACACTATTGCACAAGCCCATATGGACGGACACAAGGGATTGGGTAGGCTGCCCAGAATATTTACTTTGTGCACACAACATGAAAATCAGCACCTAGGTACAACATTAAAGTAAAACCAACTCTGACTTGAACATTGCAGGATGGTATGAACAGTAACTATGATCTGAGGTCCAGCTCCCTAAAAGATGCATGCAATTGCAGTTTAAATTTGTGATTTCAAATATTTACATGTTTCAACTCAAGCAGAGACTTCAACTAAGCTGCACAGAGACAGGAGGGCAGAAACACAGTTTCCATTCTGTAGCCTAGTTGATCTCTTTGTTCTTCACTTCAGCTTCCCATCACTTCTACCCATCTCTTGCGGTGAGTGATACTAGCTGCCACACTTGGATCAAGAAACACCCCCAGGAACAGTGAGGAACCTACTCCCCACACAGGGTCTGGCCATTCTGATCTAAGAGCACATCAGCATAAGGATTCCTGCTCCTGACAGAAATAAATTTACCTGTCATCTTTGTTAATTTGATCGCCAAATCCAACTGTGTCGACAATAGTCAGCTTCAGACGGACGTTACTCTCCTGGAGCTCGTAACTCCTGGCTTTCAATCTCACACCAGGCTCGTTGTGCGTCGCAGGTTCACTTTCAAACTTGGTATTGAACAGAGTGTCCATCAGCGTTGACTTGCCAATGCCAGTTTCGCCTAAGCAGAGAAAGGCAACGTTAGTATGGTCCCATTACTTTTCCTCACCTCATCCTCAGACACATTTGCCAGGCTAAGGAGTTATTCCACTTGGGTAGCAATGGAATCAGACTACGTGCACACAGCTAGGCAAAACAATCCCTGCAGAAACAGATGTCTTGAGACAGTCCCCATCTTTACAGATCCCCCAGGACTGAACCAGGGACTCTGTGGACATTGGGAGGTGACAGCAGCTCTGCTTTCTGCTGCTGGGCTCTGACTAATTTCCTCCACAGGTCATACTGCCTGGGTCTCTGCGGGACACCTCGCAGATATACCTGATCAAAGCACCACACGCTGGGGATGCAATCTGAAACGAGCCCCTGCTATGTAAAATCTGCTACCCTGACAGACACCGTGATAAATCAAATGCCTTCAGAGCTAAAAGTCATTACCCACAGGTGAAGATCTAGGCTGCTGTGCTGGGAAGGGCAAGAGAAATTTGTGGGCTGGGTTTTCAAGGGAGGTGTACCACAATCACAGGCCAAAAGGGGCATGACCAGAGATACTAGCACCACTGATTTCAGGGATTTTTCATTATTTCAGGGAAGGAAAGGCTTATTTCACACACACACAGAGGCACACCGTATTTTCCGGTAATATTACTGTTAACATTTCCCATGAGAAATGGAGGAATTGGAGAGGACAGTTTGAGGCTTATGAGAGTCCCTGAAGAGAAGGTACTAAATGGAAAAGAAGGGGACAAAAAACAAATTTAAAAGATTTTAAAAACCTCCACCACAACAGTTTAAGAATAGTTATTTAGACATTTGCTGAGGGAGCCCACCTCCTCAGAAAAGGGAAGAGACTCCTGCCATGATGAACCAGCAAATGCTGGTAACTGAACCCTGTTACTGGACTTGCTATACTGGCAGTGCAAGAGAGACAGTAATTCATTTCCCATAAAAGCATTTGCTTCCAGCAGTCTTCAGCTGTTGCCCATGGTTTTCACATTGGTATGACCTAACTGATGATGTAGGCTCCCTCCTGCTTGATGGCATAAAGAGCCCCAACCTCCTCACTTTGCAAGTGACATCGGGATTCAGGACAGCAAGAAGCTGTTCTTACTCAAGAAATATTTAATTATCTTTTTAAGAGTGTAGGCTCAGTCCTAGTTCTGCTATAATGTTCTTTACAGAAGCAAGTTGCAAATTCTCTGAACTCTGAGTTTGATTCCCAAGAAGATATCTGATTCTGTATGTGGTTTTATGCCTTTTTTTTTCAGCTCAGTTTCCATTCCTTTTTTCAAGAGGATCACAAAGAAAACATAGTGCAACTTGGGCAATGAAAATTTGAGTCAGAGAAATACATTAAAAGTGTAAAAAAAAAAAATCTAAAATAACATACTGTTTAAATACCAACTTTAAAACTATTACAGGTTCACTAATCCCCAGTGCAATTAGTAACATGGATGAAAGCATTAGCCTAAATCCCATTTTTAAGTCAAAAGTGTTTGGTTAGCAATTACATCCTCAAATTGCTACTGCTACCTATGCTGTGAGTAGCAGGGGCTGAGGTAACATCCTGAAGTTGCTCCAGCCAAAGCAATGCTGGGATTTGGGACAGACCTCCTGGACAGCAATGTGCAGCTCTGGCATTTGCAAGGTGGGCTTGTGAGGAAGTCCCATCCTAAGCCCCCAGAATATTAAGAAGTGGTGAAAAATAGAAATGCAATGCAAAATATCAGGTGGGAGAGGAGAGCTTGCAGCTGGGATTGCTCTCAAGCACCTTTCTGGGTTGTATACAGCTCTCCTAGCATGAAAATCTCTCTCTCAAAATATGCAACCCCCCCCTCTTAGAAAACCTCAGAAAACCATGTAGTCCACAGAAACAAATATGACTAATCAGCAACTGCCTGTTGCTCTGTGATACTCGACAGTTCATTTTGCTGGCTTTGACCATTTTCATGCTAGGCTCAGGAAGGTAAGTGATTACTTACAGCCCAGTAAAATAATCGGGCAGAGATATGCTTGTCACAGCATTCCTACACTGTAAAGCAGCAGGACACAAAGCAAGCTTTTAAAAAAAATTAACAAATGAAAGAGGGGGAAGACAGAAAGTATATATCGACGTTATAGCTCAAAATCTATGCCCACATAGAGCACAACCCACATGAAAAGATCAGTCCTAAACTGATGGCACAGACTGTTAATCTCTGAAGCTACGTATTTTAGCAAGCTCCTGATGTGAATGCAGTGGTGCTGCGTGCTGTGCTAGATGGGCTTTGCAGCGTTCTCCCATGCACACCACAATTAGAAATTACAATTATGTCCTTTCTCAAAACACAATTTCAAAAGTTGCTTTGTTGTTTGTTTGGATCTTTTCAAAGGGGGAGATTTCTATTCCTTGGACAACTGCAGCAATTTGTGTGAAATTTTAATTTGGGGCAAAAAAAATGGTTGATCAGCACATTTTACAAGAGAAAACGAGTTAGACCAAATTGCTACGTTAATGGAGACATATTAAGTCACACTAAAGAGAGGAACACTTATTGCAAGATAAAAAGGCAATTAATTTATGCCATTTTGGTCAAAGAGCCGCCTGCTAATCAAGCTGTTCCCTGCTAAATTTTAAACAGTTTCATGCTGCTAGCAGAATCACGTGAGGGTTGGTAGCTCGAGTGTGCAGAAGTACAGCTATTCTCTTGTCTCATTCTTCAATATGCAAGGCTACAGAGACGAGTCTAGTTTGTTTGCCAGATTCCTTTTCAAACGGCTCACCCTGCACTGCAGACAGAAATTCTCAACTTACTGTAGGAAAAAAAAAAAAAAAAAATCACAGTCAGAAGGTTGTGGGTTTTTTCCAGCTAATTAATGTAACTAATTAGAAGGGACAATACTCCCTTCTTGCAGGCTTAAATGAACAACGAATGGATGGATGACATTTGTAGACTGCTCTGGCAAACTAAGAGCAAAACCCACAATTTTTGTCAATTTACAGAACCACATTCTGGGGGCATCTTGAAGAGGTGTACCAATAGGTCAAAGTTGTTCGGGCACACTGCTTCCCAGGGCTGAGCAACAGATTTCCAATTGTATAGTATCCATAGAGTACCAAGACAGCAGATATCTCCTACAGCCAAGAGAGGAAGTCACCTCCCCATATTTCACCCTCTGAACAATTTGGGAAAAGTAACACAGTGAGTCAGGCTATACAACCAGCTTGCAGCACCCAGATTAAATACAGCAGAGAACAGGTGACAGGCTTTGTTCTCAACTATATCATTTGAAGACTAAAAATGGCATCGCTTCCAACTGGAGAAACTAAGAATATAACGAGACAGACTGGCAAAGCCTGGAAGGGAAGGAATGCAATTTACTGAGAAACAGCCTCCGCGCCCAAACCAGAGAAAGGCAGATTTAAGTTAACGTTCTTTTAAAAATACATTTAGCTCAGTTTCCTTGTGGACAGCCCTTGAGGAAAACAGAATCATAGGACGATCAAAGGGTATATTTCAAACAGCTAGAAATTTCCATGCTTTGACTCAGGGGACAGGGTAAAGCAAAGGAAAAGAGGGATACTAGATCTCACCCTGAGGCAGCTCTGGGAAGAAACTGTCACTTCCCTGCCACGATGGTCCCCACTAGCTCAGATCTTACCCTTCGCAGGAGGGAGAAGGTGCCAATTTGTAGAAACGTATGCACTCCTTGGTGTGAACTTACTGCCCAGCAGCGCAGGATGACTTACCCACACAGAGGATGTTGAAGCAGAAGCCCTGTGATGTTGACTTGTTGACCAACTGATCGGGGAGGCTGTCGAAGCCCACATGGCCGGAGAGGGACAGGTTCCTAAGGTCATCGCTCTGTAAGACCAAGAAGAAAGGCATTTAACAGAGTTGCAACACTCCTGTCAAGGAAGAAGGTTGTGCCTAGCCCTGTTAGAACTGTGTAAAGATGCATGAGTTTAGGGACACGGGATCCTTCTGTCTTAGGTTTGCCTCCCAGACGTGTTCTCCTTTTACTTCTATCCAGCTCTCTGCTGTGGGGCTCAGGAGCTAAAATATCCCCAACACTAAGGCATACAAACACCACCAGACCATTTCTCCATGCCCGCAACTAATAAACCATGATTCTGTACCAATCAAACACCCAAACATCGTTTCTGAGGCCTCAGCATCACATATCCCTAATGTTACCCCAAGATTATTTAGGCAGATACCTAGAAGGGGCACAGTCAAACATGGTCACAGCTGCAAGCAAACCCATTCCTGTTTAATCGGTTAAGCAGCTGACTGCCTCCTCCATGTCCGCTGCACAGCTCTACAGCGGAACGCAGCCCACCTTCCCTTTCAAACCTCCCCAAAGCACTTCCCCAAACCACACAATAAGGCCAGCTCTCACAAACAGTACATGAAAGAGCGACACAGGTTGCAATGTCATCCTGGTTGCAACTCCAAAATTTATGCCTAATAGAAATCTGTGTAGGCCAGCAGAGAGCCAAGCTCATGCTCTTCTTGGCTCAGTTTGTTAATGGGAAGAAGCTGCTCTCTTGAACTTGCTCTATCCTCCCAGCAGAACAAGGGAAACACCATCACTCCTGCACTTTTGCTGTAACCCTTCAGCATGACTACAGCAGGACATAGCTTAGATGGCGACACTGTCTCTAAAATCAGCTAAATCTCTTTCCAGCTTTTACAGGCCTGGATCAGAAGAGGAAAAAAAAAAAGAGTGCATGCTGCTCTGCGGATGCCCTGGTTTACAAATAGCCTTATCCGACACGAGGTGAAAAGCAGGACACCATTCCCAGCATTTCCTGTGTGACCTATAAAGCCCATCATGCTGCCTCTTCAGCAGGAAAAAAAAAAAAAAAGACAGACCAGGCACCCAGACAGACCCAGGCACCCCTTGTGACCTGCACTCCTCCTCTAGGCTGCCCAGGGGGCCTAAGCTGATACCATCAAACACCTCAAAGCTGTTTTGTGGAGGGTAATGGGGTAGCACAGACCTCAAAAAAAAGAGAGGTTTGAAACAACTCCAAGATTATATTTAGGACTCTTCCACAAGAGCTGTACACTAATTCACAGACAGGCTTGAAAAAGCAGCCAGCCCAGTTATCTCTTCCTCAGATTGGCAAATCAGTTATGCCAACATCCTGAGCACACATAACAAGAAAAAAAAAACCCCACCAACTCAGTCGACCTAGAGCAGCTCTGCTGTTACTTCACACAATGTTTTTCTCCAAAAATTTGTTGCCTTAAGATACTAACCTTTCTCCAAACCCAAACATTTCCAGCACAGTCATTCCACCGAGGCCATACTGATGAGCTAAATTAAAGTTGTGGGCAGTCTCAGCCTGGTTTAAAGATGCCAGAAGCACCAGCTTCTTTTCCACAAAATCAGTGGGCTTTGGACCAGACACGGAAAAAGACACTCTCTGGTTATTAAAATAAGAATCAAAACTGGAGGACAACTCCTCACTCTCTGCAGCACAATTGCTGAGCATCTCCACTTCCCTCCTCAAAACATACAGGCCAGCCATCCATTGCAGGAAGCAATGAGCTACATCTCGGTCAAGTACTGATGAAAATGCCGCTCAAAAAAAATTATTTGAGAAGAACAACATCTCAGAGTAAAAACGTCTAAGTCTGTGCCATCACTATAGGGCACAAAAGGGCAAAGGGCTCCTTTTTGCCATGCTGGGACACAGAGCTCGACACCTGTACTAGATGCCTAAACCTCCCCTTAACATCTGAACTGGGCGTGTCTAAAGGCTTAGGGCCGGTACAACAGACTGTTCATCCCTCCATTCACGGGACAGCTCTTCACCAGCACTGTATCACAGAAGATTAAGGTGATTAAGAGATGCCTCTCCTTCACTCAGGCTAGGTAAAAAAAACAAAACCAAAACAACAAACAACACCACAAAAGAGACCATCACTTCATTTCCCTGCAACTGCGATTTTCCTGGAAAAGCCCCAGGCAATGGAAGGAGACTGTGAGATTTACACATGATGAGAATGGGTTAAACTAAATATTTGTAACATTAGTATATTTAAAAGGCCAGTGGGCTTGAGTTTATGATTAAGTGAAGGCAGCTCAGAGCAGATCCCAAAAAGCGATAGGTGCCCATGACTCACAGGCTTCACAGAAAGTGGTGGGTGTTGAACACCTCTCAGCACTGCACCAGTATCTCTTTCCCTGATATATTTTGGGAAAGCAAGTACTGCCTCATCATCAGTTACTCAGCAGGAACAGAAGTTGGACTCATCTCTTGCATCTGTGTCAGTTATTTTTTGCTGCATACCTTCTTTGGTTTAGATGCCTCCCCCCCCTTTTTTTTCCCCCAGTAAGTGACAAACATCAACAGTAGAAAAAAAAATCAAAAACGATCTCTACACTTTTCAATGCCAAGTATTTTTCACAAGCTGTGCTGCATAACAGGAGGCAGAAATGTAGTCTAATATCTGCCCAAAACACCAAGACAATCATAAAAAGCTCAGAGGCCCAAGGCATGGGCAGAGATGAAATGCAAACCCTTGCCTCCACCTCCCTCAGTATTCCCCAGACTGCAGAACATCCCATTGAGTAGGGCAGAAAGAGAAAATATGTGCATTTCTCCAGAAGATCACAGATACGCATTTTGGACAAGGCAGGAGAGGCCAAAGGGACTAGAATTTCAAAATATCTCCCTCCACGCACAAATTAATGCATCATGCAACATAACGGTTGGTTCCAGCACACACAAATGGACTTGGAGAGCCGGCACTTTTTTGGGGGGAGATGCAGGCTGCTTCTCTGAGAAGGCTTAAAGGGAGGTGTGCACACGCATAACCTCTTGCCACTGCAGCCAGGCCTCTGCTCTTGTTTTCACCCTCTCCAAGGGGATAGCTTACTCCCACTCAGTAACTACAGGGATGCTAACACAAGGAGAAGCAGCCTGCCCCATTTCTCTGCTCTCCCCATAGCAGAGCTTTGGACAGCAGGCTGGAAGTTGCAGGATTCCTCATGAAGCTCTGGGGCCCCTTTTAGCTAAGGCACAGGTATGCCAAGGATGCCAATCAGCAAAACCACAATGGGCAATTTTACCAATTAGCCCGATTGCATTGGACTGGACAGTTCTGGCTTTATTAGCTCGACAGTGCTACAATCTTCAGCCCTGAGGCTGCCTGGGGAGGGGGCAGGGACTGAAATCACTGCAAATTCAAGAGCAGCTCATGAGCTCAGGTTTTGTCCACATGGAAAGGAAACCTCTGTTGGAGAGCAACAAGCATGATTAATGCTCAGTGTATAATTAGCAGAACAGGCAAGTGATTCACACACAGAGTCTGGCAAAACAGAAGTGTTTTAAAAACAACGGGATGCTAAGTCAGATGGCCATGCTGCACTGGCTGTGAATCGCTGTGACAAGCTCCTGAGAAGAGTCAGTGGGCTGGGTTTTGATCTCAAGTGAGTCATCCCACTGCGAACTGGGTGCCTCCAGCTCAAGAGTGATCAAAGGCAGACATAGGTGAAGGCTCCTGCCCCACAGAAACAAGCCAGAGCCCCTGTGTGCACCCAACAAGCCAGGGGAGAAATGCTACAAGCACCGATTTATCCCTCCTGCCACAAGGCTCTTCTTCCAGAGGAAGGCAGCAGTGCTGTCCAGGCACTTCACCTCCGTGGAAAGATATCAATCACCCTGACTCACCGACTTCTTCCCAAGGGTATTCCTCATTTTCCTTCAGATGATGAGCAGAGCTCAGGATGCCTTTGAGTTCAGCACAACTCCTCTCTTTCCCCAACAGTGCACCTAAATACAGTCCTGGACTAAAACAGCTCCTCAGCTGTCACTCATAGTAACAGTCCTAAGAGATGGCTTATTAACACACAGGCAAGTTGCTCTATCTGCAAGCACTGACCTTTTAGAAGCACGCTAAAAGAACAACTGTTTGCCAAGCACCCCTCCTTCAGGAGCAACAGACAAGATTGGCATGGGTAAAACTGCAGCTCCGCAGACTTCTATAAAGATCAGCCAATTTGCACCAGATACGGTGCTAGACTTGGGTGTCTGAATGTTCCCAGATTTCAGAGTGCTTAAAGACATCCCAAGAGAAGTCTTTATTTTTAAACTCTTCTTTAAAATAGTCATGTCTCCTTTACTGAACCCCACGTTATAGACCAAACCTTCCTTCCCTCTTCACATACCATCCACATAATCAGAAAGCGATTCTGAACCTCCATAGCTGTATGCTAACCCCTACAAAAACTACAGAGTAACACAAACAAATGCTTGTTTATTGGGAAAGATGCTGATCACTTTACTTTTCTTTGCAGAGTGACCTACAAAGCATCCCACAGTTGATATTTCTTGGGTCAACAACAATCTTTCAGATGCTGTTATCGCAGCTGCTGGTTTTAACTCTAGCAGGGGAAGGGAAGGGGTAAGTAAAGCAGAGACAGGTCTCCAGAGGCACAGCATCTACTACATACCATCACTATAAAGAGATTAATTACCAGGATCTCATGTTCTAGTGCTCTTAAGGGGAAGAAAAATGCCTTGCAAAAGACAAGAAAGGCTTTGCAATCTCAGAGCCCTGTCAAGTCTACTTCACATCTGGTTTTCTTCATACATAGCTCCTGGTGGCAAAGGTTTTAAAGGTCAAGCAATGCTGTAACGGATGCTCTGTGGCAAGCTGTGGGTTTGCCTGGATGTAATTCAGTGAAGCTTTATAAAACAATTTGGCTGATGAGGCACGTGCAAGGAGAGAATCAGCTCATTCCTCCTAAGCCACAGTGGCTTGGCAGAGCTGTCAGGAATAAGGGGAAACTTATTTTCCTCATTGGAGTCAGCAACAGTGCGCCTGTGTGCAGATGGGGAGGT